AATCTCCTTCGTGGAATGCTCGCCGGCGTACTTTTTTGTTATAAGCTCGTGCCACTTTCACTTTATTCACTCAGATATTCTCCAAGGTCATCATCCGATCATCATGTACGTCATCCAACCTTTGTAAAATAGTTGTGTCATATTGCTCGGGATTGAGCAAATTTTGCTTCAAGACTCGTAAAGATAGCACCATGATTTCCAATGGCAATATCGCTTCTTGCCCATAGACCAGCTGGAATGGGGTCCATCCAGTGGCTTTACTTCGGTATTGCCTACAGGCCCATAAAGCCTCTTCCAACACTTCATGCCATCTTCTCAGATTGTCTTCCATAGCCTTTTTAATTACTCAAATTAAGACTTTATTGGTTGTTTTGTCATGCCCGTTCGCTTGCGCATAATACGGGGATGAATGCAAAAAAGTAATCCCAGACTGTGTGGCAAAGGCAGGCTCTTTATCACTGGTAATAATAGTACCTTGATCGGTTGTAATCGTTTGCGGAATTCCATACCGGTGAATACTGTATTCCTTGACGAACTTAACCACTTCTTGATATGTCACGTTGGCCAATGGTATAGCTTTGATCCACTTTGTGAAATAATCAGTGGCCACCAATATGAACGAATGTCGTTTGGAGGATGGCGGACGGATTTTTTCCGATTATATCCATCGCCCATCCCCGGAATGGCCATAGTTTCATGACCACATGCATTTCTTCCGCTGGAATTCGGATCAAAGGACCATGCGCTGACACACTTCACATCCTTGAGCATACTTGATACAGTCCTCTGTCATTGATGGTCAAAAATACCCATATCGTCGGATTGTCTATCTTATGACTAATCCGGATCTATGTGCTCCGCAAACCCCTTCATGCACTTCACCCATCACCCTCATGGCTTCTTGAGTATCTACACATTTCATTAACATTCCATCGGCGGCTCTGCGAAAAAGATCTTTGTCAATCAAAGTATATTTCAGGGCCTGCTTCCGTAACTTTTCATGACCGGTTGATTGTTCAAAATATTTTCTTAGTTCCATACTCCAATCCTCCCCTTCCACTGGGCACAGACATACTCGCCTTGACTTGAACTTTCCTCCGGCCAAACAACTTATACCCAGAGGCTTCTTGAGCTAAATCATTAGGCTCGAGGTATGAATTTCACCATTACATCGTCAAAATTTTGCAACATCGTAACTAACTCCATTCAAAGGTTTCTCAATTTTTCATCTTTGCATTGGAACTCACCGGCAATTTGCTTCAGAGTCAATTGTGAATTGCCTTGAACTCTGATTGCCTTAGCTTTTTTTTTTTATGGAGGATCCTCAATCCAACTAATAAGGCTTCATACTCTGCTTGATTATTAGTAAATCCGGGTGCCAATGGTTTGGCAACGGTCCACTTTCTTCCCCATGGGCTCGAGGTATGAATTTCACCATTACATCGTCAAAATTTTGCAACATCGTAACTAACTCCATTCAAAGGTTTCTCAATTTTTCATCTTTGCATTGGAACTCACCGGCAATTTGCTTCAGAGTCAATTGTGAATTGCCTTGAACTCTGATTGCCTTAGCTTTTTTTTTATGGAGGATCCTCAATCCAACTAATAAGGCTTCATACTCTGCTTGATTATTAGTAAATCCGAGTGCCAATGGTTTGGCAACGGTCCACTTTCTTCCCCATGGGCTCTCAATAAAGACCTCAGCTCCAGCGTTGGTCTACGTGCTGGAACCATCAAACTTCAAGATCTATGGCATCGGACTAATAACAACTTCCATATGATAAGCCGTTTGGTCGGATACCGAGCTCGGATGATCCATCAAAAAATTAGCAACGACCTGCCCTTTGACAACTTTAATTGGTACATATCATAAATCAAATACGGCTAGCTTTACAGCCCATTTCGCTTGCCTCCCTCTTAAAGCTGGCCTGCTTAGTAAATATCTCAAAATCTTGACATGACACACCAGTTCTGTCTCCCTCGGGGCCAAATAATATTGAAGTTTCATGCATGCATCAAACAAGGCTAGACATAATTTTTCCATAGAATTTTACCTTGTCTCCACATCATTCATTACCTTACTGAGGTAAAAAATGGCAGGGTCGCTTCTATCGGGAGCCTCTTGCGCCAGTAAACAACCGACCGTATTATCATTGGCCAAAACATATAAGCGTAGAGGTTTACCTACTTGTGGCAACATCACACTGGCGGATTGGCCAGAGCTTCCTTAATAGCATCGAAAGCCTGTGGGTGTGGCAGCTTCCACACAAATTCCTCTGTCCTCCGCAATTTGAGTAACATGGAAAAAGCTTTAAGCTTGCCTGCAGCATTTGAAACAAATCTTCGCAAAAAGTTCACCTGTCCAAGGAATCCTTAGAGCTGTTTTAGATTCTCAGGTGGTCGGACATTGATGATAGCTTTCGTCTTGTTACTATCCACATTGATACCCTTATTATGCATCATGAAATCAAAAAACTTTCCGGAGGCCACTCCGAATGCGCACTTCGCTAGATTCATCTTCAAATTATATTGCCTCATTTTCCGGAAAGGTTGCTCGAGATCCACCAGATGTTCCCAAAAAGTCTTGGATTTCACCACGATGTCATCGATGTAAACTTCCACCGAATGTCCAATTAAATCGTGAAATATGGTATTCATTGCTCGCTGATAAGTCGCTCCAGCATTCTTCAACCCAAACGGCATTACCACCCATTCATATACTCCAAGAGCCCCTGGGCATCGGAATGCCGTTTTTGCAACATCCTTCTCGGCTATGAAAATCTGGTTATAGCCGGAATACCCATCCATGAACAACAGACTCCCTTTCATGGCGGCTCTGTCCGCTAACATATCGGCGATGGGCATAATGTATTCATCTTTGGGTGTCACTAAATTCAAACTGTAGTAATCAACACATACCCGCAATTTTCTGTTTTTCTTGAGTACAGGAACAATATTGGCCACCCATTCCGGGTATCGACAAGTTCGGATGAATCATGCCCCCAAGAGCCGCTGAATTTCTTCCTTGATCTTTGGGTACCCATATGGATTAAACCTTCACGGCGGCTGCTTGTGGGGTTTGTATCCAACTTTTATGGGTAGTCGATGTTCCACGAGTTCTTGAGCCAAGCTTGGAATTTCATCGTAATCCCAAGCAAAAGAATCCCGGTATTCCTTTATGAGTGTTATCAAGGCGGTTCGATCTTCTGATGTTAACAATGCACTAACTTTGGTAATTCTTGAAACTCCATTAGTACTCAAATCAACATCCTCCAGCGGGTCTTGGGTCTGGAACGTTGGATATGTTTTTTTCACGGGTGATGGTAATTCTACTTCACCGGCGATTCTCTGGATGGTTCTGAACTGCCAATGGAAGTTGTTCTGAGCAGTTCTGGACCTTCCACGGGGTCTGCTCTGGCTGGCTCTAGATGTTGCATAACGGAGCCTGTTTTAGGGGACCCAAGGTTTTCCAAGGATCCTGTTCTGGACGGCTTCGAACTTACAATAGAGCCTATTCCGAGAAGCTCACTACCTTCCGTGGAACCTGCTCTGAACGGCTCTAAACTCGTAATGGAACCTACCCTGGGCAGCTCATATTGAATTTTGTCACATTTAAAATTCATCATAGTCTTCTTCATTCATAGGCCGTGGATCGGCCCTTGCTTGAATCTTGAACTGTTTATCACTAAACACACATTCATAATTTCCTTCGTTAGGAATGGAGGCGATCACTTCCGACAATGAATCATCCCCGAATAGTAGAAATTCGCATCTACAGTTGTGACCTCTGTTTTGAATGGATCTTTCTCCGCTTCAACTTTTTGAACCTCGTCACCATCCAAAAATATCAACTTCTAGTGTAAAGTCGACGGGACACACTCGCAGGCGTGAATCCAATCCCGCCCCAACAATGCTGCATACGACGGCCGGCTATCTATTATCACAAACGCTGAGGGCAACTTCTTTGTGCCAACTTGCACCTCAACAGTAACAATTCCCGCCAGTTTGTAAAAATTTCCCATAAAATATGTGGCTCGTACTGAGGCTGATATTAAATCATCCATTGTCTTTCCTAATTTTATGAATGTCCAAAACGGCATCACGTTAGCAAATGCGCTGCCGTCTATCAGTACTCTACTCACAGGTCATCCTTCCATTAAGGCTTGAATGTACAGGCGCTTCACATGTTTATTATGCCCGGACCCAATTTGATTAGATGTGACCGTTGTCACTACGTCATTCCATTCTGCAGCTGGCTCTTCATCTACGATCACTCCCTCATAACTTTGCTCCCCTTTCAGAGCTTTGAACTCAGACGACAATAACCCAACGACCGACAATTGGCCAGCCTTAGTATCTAGCTCCTTCGGCTAAGTAGCTTTCGGCATCCATCGGCATTGCCAATTTGGCGCGGGTTCTGTGATCGGTGTAGAAAAATAAAGCGAGGTTGCAACTCTTGATTTTTCTGAGGTATTTTCTTATGTTCCTCAACTTTCAGGGTTTTTTCGTCCCGATTCATCATTTGTTGAACCTCTATTCCTGATTCAATTTTTTTACTCTCTGATAAGTTCCCTTACTTTATCCTTACAGTATTCCGACTTGGTTGAATGCCTTCAGCTTCCAACTTAGCTTGTAATCTTTGTGCCCTTCTTTCTTGGAGCGCATAAGATCACCCATTGCCCTCCTGGAATTTTCCTCCGGCACATTGACTGTCCACTTCTCCAAATCTACTGCTGATGCAGGCTTTCGCATCGTTTTTGGAGTAATGGTAATCTGATCGGTGGATATAATAGTCCAAACTCGCTTTCGACTAGGGACTTTCACCTTAGCCACAGTGGCATCTGGCTTGATACTTGAACCTAGGGTTGTGGCCTTAGTCATCACGTTATTGCATTCCCGAACTTCCCTGGCATTTGGAATCGTCACTTTCAGATTAGGGCTCCACTCTGCAACTCTAGGTTTCTAACATCCACCATTTCCATTAGGCGTATTTCCTACAGCTAGCATATCAAAGACTGAACCCCTTTGTCGTATTCTAGGTCCGAGTCGTTCATGAACCGGCTGCCGAACCGATTGCTTCCTTTCGTGTTGTCTTTTGGACTTCCTGTAGACATGGTGTTAATGGACGGAGCCGGAAATGGATTTGCATCCACTTGCATACTCTTCTCTGTTAATTTTAATCTGCCCTCATCTAAGGCCTTCTGGATTGTATTTCGTATGTACGTACAACTGGCGGTAGCATGTGTATAGCTTCCATGCCACTTACAGTACACTTTTCCTTTCAGTTCCTCTAGTGACGGCACTCGCTGCCCGTCCCGGAGTTTGATTTGTTTGTCTTTCAATAGATGATCAAATATCTGTTCAACTTTAGGCACATCGAAGGTATATTGGTCACCTCCAATTTCCTTGCCCTTTGTAGGCCTTAATGCTGAACAAGAATAGGTCTTTCCTTTCAACAACTCAGCGGCCAACACATCTTGTTCCTCAGAATATTCCTAATCGGTTCAAATTTCATCATCTGCACAGCATGTTAATTCGGTTTTTCCATCTTTTTTCCACCTTCCAACTTCAGCATCCCGTCTCTCCTGGATAAGCTTTTCTACTCTCATTGCCAGTGCACTTAAATATGAAAAATCCTAGAAATCTTGGACTTCTAACCGATCCCGAAGGTCTGATCGCATGTTATCTACTGCCATTGCGGTTTTTTGTTGTTCCGGAATTTGTATTGTGCACCGCGTCTTAGCTTGTCGAAATCTTTCCAAAAATTGTGCCATAGGCTCCTCATACCCCTGCTTTACAGCTAATAGATGGGATATCATAGTTTCCACATGCGGCGCACAAAACCAGTTGTGGAAAAGTTTCTCTGAATCTGACCAAGACTGCACGGTACCTAGAGCCAACGACATATACCACGAAAATGCACTACCCGTTAGAGATAAAGAAAATAATTGCAAACGATACCAGTCATTTCATCCCAAGTCTCCGCATTGAGTTGTAAATTTCTCAATATGCTCTATCGTTGATCTCTCATCTTCGCCTGAGAACAATGTAAAATATGGCACTTTATTTCGAACAGGCAACGGCATCATCTCACTTACCCAAGTTGGATAAAGTCTTTGATACACCGGTCGCTCTTCAAATTTCATTCGTGGAAAAGACCTTCGTATACTTTCGACTAGAATGTCTGTGTCTATCAGTGGTTGGGCATCCTGCTGATTAGGAATTAGAAGCTGTCATCCTGGTCCCTAAGCTTGGCCAGCCATTCCTCTTTGAGAGACAATGGCATGTGGAGCCTGTTGAACCCATGGTTGTGGAGGTGCGTTCCATATAGGCTGACATGTGAACTGCCCCGGCAATGCTGTCCCTGGATGAGTTCGTAAACATCGCTTCCAACGACATCCGGTCCTCCCACCATCTGAGGGCCAAAGCCTCCACTGGTCTGCCCTCCTTGCGGGCGTGGGAGAATCGATATATTTCCGAACTGCAATCCTGCTCCACCCATCGGCTCCCTGGGCGATCCAGCGTTTCTGCGGCCTAAGCTTGAGCCGAAATTCCCTGTGAGGGATGGATTCCCTCCACCATATAGAGCTATTCCTCTCGGACCTCCATATGTAGTTCCTGAAATTCCAGAATTCTGAACTCCACTAGCCACTGCTCGATGTTCTTCTTTGCGAATTTGATATGCTTCATTCCTCACAGTTGGCTGGATTACGTCGGCCAATTTCCTAGATATTTCATATGCGATATCCCCAATTCTAGTCTGAATACATTGGTTCACTTTTCTGCGTACCATATCCACCATTGTTTTAGTCGATGATGATTCTTCTTCTTTCCTCGGCCCTGGGGTGCGGCTTCCACTGGGATGAACCGGTGTTCCAATTCAAGTGTTTCCTGCACATATGTTCAGACCTGAGCTCTGATCCTAGTTTTTTATGGTGATCACTTTACCACTACGAAGTTGCATACACGAACCCGACTTGGTCCCACCAGGCGTGCCAATTGTTGGAACCTGGAATTTGGAGGTTCCAAAATAGTTTGTCGATTCCGTCAGTTGGGTTCCGAAAGTACTCCAAAGAGCTAATCCGTCATCGGGTTACTAAGATCTAACGCAGTTGAACAAGCTAAACTAAGATAATCTACGGAAATCAAGTAAAATTAATTGCAAGAAGCATAAAAGCAATTAATTCGAACTAAATGGCATAAAACGAAACTAGAATATGAAAAAAAATAGAGAAAAATACGAGTTGATCTTCTTGTGCGTGTGTTTGATGTATTTTTTCCTAGTTTTAATTCTAAGATAGAATAACCATCTCTTCCACTAAAAGAAGCAGTTTCAATTATGCCTCCACCACTCTCAACCGTCTGGTAACCTCCTTCCATCAGCCCCCAACAACTTTCATTGCTTCTGGATCGGGTTCCATTCGTTTTGAACATCGTCTGTTGTTTCTGGACCGTGTTTCATTCACTTTGAACTTCTTCCATTGCCTCTGGATCAGACCTGCAGCTTACCCTAACTTGCTTCCATCATACTCCTAGCCGGTCTACGGGGATGTGTCCCCAACATCCTCGAGTTACATAGAATCCTCCTTCTTCTTTCTTTTGGCTTGACCCATAGAGCCTTTCATATAGAACATATAGGTGCAGGGGTCTTCCATTGATGTTACAAAGTTACCAACCCAGGTTCGATGAAGGTTGTTGTCTAAAAGTCTGTAGAAGCTACATCTTCTTGCTCTGTGGAAGCACCGCAGCCTGATGGAAGTTGTTGCCTTTAGCTTTGAGTCATTTGGCCTTGGGGTCCAACAGAACACTTGAATTTAGTTTATTCGTAGTTGCAAATGGAATTTGTCCCTATTTATAGATCTATGGAATTGGCAGTTACAGAGCAGTTGAGCGGCAATTGAAACCGTTGGCCAGTTAGGTTGTTTACGGCAGTTAATCTATTGAAGCAGTTGCAATGGCCGTAACTCCTTGATTTTCACTTCGCTCACTTTGTAATGTAAAGGCACAGTGCTTGTCTGGATGGCTAAAGTGCATCAGCGCGGCTCAAGCGGTGTTTTCGTTGCTAACTGGTACTGGAATGACTTGACTGTTGAGAGGATGAACACTTAGTCGAATTTTGGGATGGTCCAATCTCGCTTCTACAACGGCGGATGTCTGGTCGTTGGCACTGACACAAGCGGTAAGAACGTCACTTGCCAAGCCGGAGCATCGTGGCTTGACTTTTAACGTTTAACTTTTTTGGGCCAGAAACATCGCTTACACATGCCAAAAATGTCAATAATCTCTACAAACAGGCTCTGGATCATGCCAAGCGAAATAAATTAATAAAGTGTGTCATAATTCAAATATTGTGATGGTTTTTTCATAAAAATTCAAGTAATACACAGTTTTGTAAAGCAAAAAAATGCTATTATTTAAAGTTATCACTGACACAGATAGTTATAAATATGTAACTACTAGAAATCACTTACAAACTCGAATAGACGACAACATATATGAAACCCGTACAATTTCATACAAATATACATGTAACAACATATATGTCAGTAATCTTATTAACTTGTAGTTCCGCTATAAAGTACATCATGACAAAAGGCTAATTACTTTTTTCCAAAGCCATCCAAATTGTTTGGGTACAATTTGTAGCAGAGAAGAAAATATTGATATACCACTCTTGGAAAGACGTAAGCCATGTTTAGATAAGTGACTCCTCTATTAGGTTTTAGGCACAACTATTGAAAAAACTGCTTTTATTTGCACCTAAAAGCAGCCTGGTCAAATAAGTATTGAACATTTCAACCGGTATACAATAGAACAAACTTTTCCTAAGGTTCGAAACTTGTCTTACATGTAACTCAAGTGATTCCCTCGGGTTCGAACAAACTTTATCAAGCTACTGGGGTTCAAGTTTGTTATCTAAGTTGTAACTCTACAACCTTTCTAAGAGTATACAAAAGAACAACACACAAAAGTATAAACAAATATCATACTATTCCACAATGCACAATAATATTGTTGGCCTCCATTATATTTTAGAACAATGCAAAAAAAATTTGGTCATTTGAGCCCCAAAACATAAATGTTTATCAAATTTACGCATAACATGTTCTAATTAACTTTCAATTAAAGAATATAGTATTTGACATATGAAGGGACACACCTAGAAAAATCATTCCGATTGACCTGTATACACATACAAAAATAACTCCATAGTGAAATGAATTTCCCCTTTCCACATTGAAACAATCAATCAATAGCAATAGAAAGGCAACAAAGTCTCCTTATCTAGAATTCTCCAACTACGTAAATGGATAGTAGAAGTGGAAACCAAAAAAATAACCCTAATTCGTTGTTAACATATCGGCACAGTACTAAATCAAGAATACCAATTTCTTCCGAATTTCCTCACCCTTACATGAAATCGTTTGTACACATGCATAAAATATTATGGGAACTATAGAAATGCAATTTCTCCCCAATTGGTTACCTACGTTCAACCTTTTCCTGGAATCAAGTCTTTCATGGTGGAGATCTGGATAGCGCCCGACCATCAATGGCGATTGGTTTCTGGAAAATCCGGGACCATGAGTGATTTTCGAATCTACAAAAAGAAGAAGAGAGAAACAAAATTGGAGAGAGAAGATCGCGAAAAAAATGGGATACAAAGAAGAAGAGGAAGAGAAGAGATGAAAATGAGAGAAAATAACCCTCCTCCTCCACGTGGCTTCGCCTACACTAAGGTCCCAGTGATGTGAGATCGAGATTTTACCGTCAAGAATACGGCCATTGCGGTGAATAAATTTCGATTATCTAAAATTCGATAGGCCCATCAAAGCCTTCCAAACAAAAAGAGAATCTAAACAATTAAAGTTTTTAAGTTTTTTTTTAATATAATATGATGTGTAATTTTAAAAAAATATATAGTAGACATATTAGATCACACTTATAAATAAATAAAATTGAAATAAATCTAATGTTCACCCAACTTATTTCTAAATGATATGATTTTTCATAAATATTATTAAAAAATATACAATATATGTTTTAACAAAATATATATAATCTATATAATATATATTTGAGATCAATGCATAATTCCTACGTTGTGAGACTTTTGAGAATTTTTAATTTATTTTACAATTTTTTTACACTTCTTTATATATTAGTGAAGTATTTACAAATTTGAAATTCAGATAATTATTTTATTTTTTATTTTTTTATTTTACAATTTCTTTTCACTTTTTTTATATGATAATAAAATATTTACAGTTTTAAAATTCACTTAATTTTTTAATTTTTTATAATTACACAATTTATTTGTAATTTATTTTTCATTTGTTTGGAAGTTATGTTCTCAATCATCAAATACGATAAGATTTTTTTTTACTTTTATATTTATTTTGATTAGTTTTTTTTAAAAAAAAGATATATAAGAAGAGTATAAGTTTACGATTAATTTTTTTAAAATTTTAAAAAAATAATTGGATTAGTAATACAAATGTATTTTTTTTTATAACTATCTTTATAGAATTTGATGTTAATTCCTTAATTATCCAAATTCATGTTGCATCTATATTCATCTTTGTTAGGTTGGCCCATGATATGTTTTGAGTCCTTATGTATTTTTTGTTCAACACACATAAGTTGTCTTGGCCCGGTTGTTGGTCCAGTTCAGTTCATGGCCCACTTCTCACCATCAATGAATCTCGACCGTTCGATCTTGTGATATTATGTGGACCGTCTGATCTGATTTAGGGTTAGATATGTGTATATGCCTATGTACTGCGCCGCTGATGGACTTCACTCCATACCCTTCCTCTCTCTGTGAACGCGATCTCTCCACCAACTCGTCTTCTTCATCCGCTCGCTCCTGTGGGTAGCTCAATAGGGATTTGTGTGTGACTTT